CAATGTAAGTGTATGAATACATGAAGCAGACGAAAACTCAGGAAGGATTTTAAACAGAATAGGAATCTCAAAGAGAAGGATAGTTGGTCAAAGGAAGAAATGTAAACAGAGTAAATTAAGTGGAGGGAACTTAGAGATGATGACAAAATACAATTGGGGAAATGGAATAAGTATTTGGGGCCACTGGGTGGCTCAGTCAGTTAGGTGTCGGACTTCAGCTCAGGTCATGATCTCATGGTTTGTGGGTTCAAGCCCCGGATCAGGCTCTGTTCTCACAGCTTGGAGCCTGGAGGCTGCTTCAGATTCTGTGTCTCCCTCTCTCTCTCTCTGCCCCTCCCCTGTGCATGCTCTCTTGCAAAAACAAATATTAAAAAAAATTAAAAAGAAAAAGCATTTAATCCCTACTATGTGTCAGGCACTATTTAAAGAAGTAGGTCTAAAGCAGCAAATAAAATACAATTTCTGACGTCATGGAAATGTCTTTTCCCACCTTTATTGAGGTTTTATTGCCAAAGTTGTAAGATAAAGACTATAACTTGATTATTTGATATATGTACACATGGTGAAGGGATTTCCCCCCCCCATCGTGTTAGTTAACACATCCATCACCTCACATATTTACCTTTTTCATTCCTTTCGTAACTATACTCACCAAGTTATACATTAGATCCTCAGACTTTATACATCTTGTAACTGAAAGTTTACACTCTTTTACCCTATTTCCTCCATCCCCTGGCAACTACTTTTTTACTGTTTTTAGTTTGTTTTTTTAACATTTATTTTTGAGAGAGAGAGAGGGAGAGAGAGCACGCACAGAGAAAGGGAGACACAGAATCTGAAGCAGGGTCCAGGCTCCAAGCTGTCAGCACAGAGCCCGCCATGGGGCTTGAACCCACAAACCATGAGATCATGACCTGAGCCGAAGTCAGATGCCCAACCGACTGAGCCACCCAGGCACCCCCCTTTTTACTGTTTTTAGAAGTTTGGGTTTTCTTTTTAATATTCCTCATATAAATGATACCATTCAGTATATGTCTTTTTCTGTCTGGCTTATGTCACTTAGCATAATGCCCTCCAGTTTCATCCATGTTGCTTACAAATGACAGGATTTCCTTTTTTTTTTTTTTTATGTGTGTATTTATTTTTCAGAGACAGAGCACAAGTGGGGGAGGTGCAATGAGGTGGGGGGGGGGGGATGGGATCCAAAGCGTACCCAACACTGACTCCATGCTGACAGCAGAGAACCCCATGTGGGGCTCGAACTCAGGAACCATGATATCATGACCTGAGCCGAAGTTGGCCGCTCTACCAACTGAGCCACCCAGGTGTCGTGATTTCCTTATTTTTTTTAAGGCTGAATAATATTCCTGTGTGTGTGCGTCTCATTTTTCTTAATTCATTGATCCAGTGATGAACATTTAGGTTGTTTCTATATGTTGGTTATTGTGAATGATGCTGCAATGAACATGGAAGTACAGATACCTCTTATAATGGCTTCATTTCCTTGGACATACACACAGAAGGGGCACTGCTGTGTCCTATGGTGGCTCTATTATTTAATTTCTTGAGGAACGTCCATACTACTTTCCATAGTGGCTGTACCAGTTTACATTCCAACCAAAGGTGTACAGGCTTCCCCTTTTTCCATATCTTCTCCAGCATTTGTTATCTTTTGTCTTTTTTATGAAGGCCATCCTAACAGGTGAGGTGATACTTAACTGTGATTTTGATTTCCATTTCCCCGATGATGAGTCATGTTGAACATCTTTTCATGCATCTGTTGGCCATTTGAGTGTCTTCTGTGGGAAAATGTCTATTCAGGCCCTTTGCTATTTTTTAATAGGGTTGCTTTGGCTTATTCCTAATAAGTTGTATTAGTTTCTTGTATTTTTAAACATTAACCCCTTGTTGGATATGTGGTTTGAAAATATTTTCTCCCATTCCATAGGTTGCCTTTTCATTGCGTTCACGGTCTCCTTTGCTGAAGTGTTTTAGTGTGATGGTATCACACTTATTTATTTTGCTTTTGCTGTGGCAGCCCAGTTTTCTTAACACCGTTTATTGAAGAGATTTTTTTGTTTCCATTGTATATTCTTTGTTCTTTGGCTGAAAACCGATTGACCATATGTGTATGGGCTTATTTCTGGGCTATTTTGTTCCATTTGTGTAAGTGTGTTTATGCCAATAACACCCTATTCGATTACTTTGGCTTTGTAATATAGTTTAAAAATCAGGAAGTTTAATGCATCCAGATTTGTTCTTTCTCAAGATTGTTTCCCTATCAAATGTCACAAAATCAAAAAGTTTAAGAGTGAGGGGGCTCACTTTTCTTAGAAGATGGCGCATTTGCCCTTTGCTACATGCTAACATGCACAAGTGGTTGGTCCCTCTTTATTCCATCTGAGCCTTGGGTGAGGGAGGCAAGAAAAACAAAGCCATGGAAGGCCACACAAGCAAAACCTTAATTTTCAATAGTGGTGGTTCTACTTAGTGTTTGATTACTGGTGGAAGCACTGCTCTGAAACCTGGCCGGTTTACTGCATCATATTTCTGTTTGTTTACCTGTGATATGGGTGACCATCCAGCCTCTGATTGTATGAATCTACACAATTTCACAATCCCCTGTGTCATGCCTGCTCAGGTAATCATTTGGTGTGTCTCTTACCCCTCATTTTGCAACGCACAGATAAGCCCTCTGTTCAAACAAAGTGGTGATAATGACCAACTCAGCAAATTACTAGGTAACTTGTACCACAGTTGAGTTTTCCTCTGAAGACAGACCTCCTACTGGGAAGCATACAGCAGTAAATATAAAGTGGGTACGAAGTAGTTCTTTGTGGAAATAACTTATGCTTTCTTCTGGTTTGGCTGATGTAGAGATAATGTGTGAAATCAACATGTAGCATCAGATAACCTATTTGCTTCTCTTTGGTATATAACCTGGTATATTTCTGTAGTGCCTAAGGTAATTGGTTAACTAATTAGAAAGATGATGGGGATAATGATGAATGAGGAGGAGGAGATGATGATTTTTGAGACTAGGTAGAACTTGACTGTACCTCAGAGTTACCTGAGGAGCTTTAAAAAACCTTGATGCCCAGAAACTACTCCATATCAATTATATTAGAATTTCCGTGAGTGGATCTCAGGCCACTTTTGTGCAGTCAAGTTTGAAAACAAATAACACAGGGGGTGCCTGGGTGGCTCAATCGGTTAAGCATCCGACTTTGGCTCAGGTCATGATCTCAAAGTTTGTGAGTTCGAGTCTCCTGTCGGTCTCTGTGGTGAGAGCTCAGAGGGTAGAGCCTTCGGATTCTATGTCACCCTCTCTCTCTGCCCTACCCCAGCTTGTGCTCTGTGTCTCACTCTCTCAAAAATAAATAAAACATTAAAAAATATTTTTAAAAAAGAAAATAAATGACATAGAGTAAACAACCTATCCATTAACTGAAGTTTGTACCTCTCATAAAGTTTTAGTAGTGTACCTGGACCCACAAGATACTGTGCTTATTATTTGTTCTTTTACCACCACTTAGGGTCTGTATGAAATTGGCCAATTTCTCTCTCCATTCTGAGTAACAGTTTCCCAGCCTAGAAGCTTGAAGTGATGCCGTTTCCCTGAGGGTGGCTCTGGGTGCTAAATGAGTTAATGTGCATGTAGTACATATCACATTATCAAGAACATACTAATCACTACTGAATAGAGGCTAACGATTTAACTTCTATGTATATAGACTAGTTTTGCATCTTGGGAATATTGAGGAAGTAGACGAATCATTTTTGGTATTCTCTAGTGAAGATGATAATCCAGTTTGAGAAATACCATTACAGATAATTCTTCCAGACTTTGAAATAGTCCTAGATTTAAACTGACCTATTCATTTACTAGCTTTTTGTTGGAAAAGTTAAACTTCCTGAGCATTCAGTTAGCTCATTTATAAACTGGAGAGAAGGCTTGTTTCTCACAACAATCCTGAAAAATAAATGCCCATCCATAACATTGTGTAGGGCATGTAGCAAGTTCTCATAACATGTTGGTTAGCATTATTTTATAATATTACTCTTTGTATACTTTTAGAATTATTTTGTGGCAAGACAGGTAATGAAGATAGTGTTAGAGGTACAGAAAGAGGATTTGACAAAAGGATAACAGGAGTACAAGAAAAGGAAGGTAATAAAAGTTGTGGCTTTCGCCTTTATTTCTTGATGCTTAACATTTTGATATTCCTATAATTTTAGTAAGTAAAGTTGGTTTGAACTGAGATTAACCAGTGTGACCAAAAGTAATATTTAACACCATTATTGCTAGTGAGAAATATACATCATTTAAGAGATTATCCACTCCATAATAACATAATAATTCCATTGTAACCTTGGAATGCTGAATTTGTAAAAACTGACATGTATGGTGATATTAAAAAGTGTTTCTGGTAGATATAGATATCTATGAGTATAACTGACCCTTGAACAATACAGTATTAGGGGCACTGGCTCCTACACGGTCAACATTGCCCATAAACTTTTTGATTCCCCCAAAACTTAACTAACAATAGCCTACTGTTAACTGGAAGGAAGCCTTGCTGACATAAATAATTGATTAACATATATTTTGTATGTTACACGTATCATAAACTTCATTCTAGAGAAAACAAAATGCTATTAAAATCATAAAGAAAATGCATTTACAATACTATATTGATACTATAAGTTTATGTCATTTGTTTACAAGATGAATCATCTGTCAGCTGCATCAATATTTTCCTAGATGATAGAAAACACTGTAGATATTGAGTATTACTAACACTAAACATCAAAAATGGAAAGATCTTGTGAAAAAGAAATCTTTATGGATATAATGATTCATTCACTGCTAACAAAAAAAAGTAGCAATATTAATGCTTTATGACAGCTTAGTGTAATTGATATGATTGCTTCATGGTAACCTACCTTGTACTAACAATGATGATGAAAATTTTGTGGCACACAGTATTATAGTCATGTTTATAGAACAAGAAAAAATGGTAATTTGTTTTTTTGAAAAACCACTTACCTGTGATGATAGACTGATACAGTTTCTTCAGATGGTATGGGGTGGGGGCATACTATATGGTAATATAATTCTTCAAACAAAGTCCTAAAGCAATAAGAAAACACAATATTAATTTCAGTTATTAAATATAAGTCAATTTACGCTTATGTAAGGATTGGCTAACCACATCCATACAAATCTTTCACATGATGTTCTACACAGTGAATACTTAGGCAATGAGGATGATAACACAAAAATGTCTCCTACAGTTCTTGCCACACACTAATTCGATTTTTAATTAAAGACACACACACACACACAAAAGATAATTATTATGCCATATAGTTCATAAACTTATTTGCTTTTCACTAAGTGGAAGTGGGTCATCCTAAAGGTCTTCATCCTCAGCATCTTCACATTAAATAGGCTGAGGAGAAAGATGGGGTTGGTCTTACGGTCTCAGAGTGGTAGAAGGGGAGGGAGGGGAGGTGGGCATACTCAATATAACTTCATGGAAAGATATCAAAATTTATGGCTTTGTAGCTTGTTCATTTCTCAAGAAATATTTATATAGGGCACCAAACATTCTTCTACTGTTTGCTTTAGTTTCAGTGCCCATATCCTAGAAGGGTCCACATCATAAAATAAGTCAAAACCAGTCTTAAATCATTGGAACGCTTCTGCCATAGTGTCCAACGTCGATGTGTTGTGTGGCACTGCTTCTTCTACATCTTCATCATCATCTGGCACTGGGTTGGGAAGAACTCACCTCCATCAAGTCGTCTTCTGTTAATTAGCTCTTGAATTTCTCTAAGTTCCAGATCTTGAAACTCTTCACCCCCACGTTTTTTGTTTTGTTTTGTTTTTACCATATCCACAATCTCTTTTAGGATTTCGTTGGTTGGCTCTGTCATACATCCTGTGAAGTTATGCGCACCATTATCAAGACACCATTTTCTCCAGCAGGATTAGGCTCAGACTTGATGGTTTTCCTATAACAGCATCTTCAGTGGCATTTCTTCAATCCTTCCTGACTTGCACGATGTTCTATCAGGATTCTCTTCCATAACATTTACAATCCTTTCCATAGAGTACCATGTGTAATGAGCCTTAAACGTTCTTATGACCCACTGATCTAGGGACTGAATTATAGACGTTGTGCTTGGGGGTAAGAAAACCATTTCAACAACTTCCTAATCTGGGGGTGTGGGGAGTCACAAAGAACATACATTAGTAAGGAAGAGAAGAAAGCACTAGGATTTAAAGCAGGAAGGGATAAGCTGACTACTGTTTTGTACAAATTCAGTTAGGTTATGATCAGGACTGCCCTTATCTATAAAGCTGCTAATCCCTGAGCCTTAAAAGGAAAAGATAAAAACCAACTGCCGTTTTGGGGGTTGCACAACAAGAAGTCCTAGACAAGAACACCTTTTCTTGATTGGTTCTCTGGATGCTTTGTCTCTGAGGTCAAGAAGTACCTTCAAGTGAAGGACTGCATTTTAAAGTTCTTTTGCTGTTGGACAATGTCTCTGGCTACCCAGATCCCCATGAGTCCAATGTGACTTTCATCTGCCATAAAAATCTGTTGAGGCAGATATCCTTTCTCCTCAATGATTTTCTTAATGGTGTCTAGAAACTTGTCTGCTGTCTCTTGGTTGACAGACGCGCTTCCCCTTTATCTTGACATTTTTAAAGCCAAACCTCTTGATCTGAAATTAAACCACTCTTTGCTGGCACTAAATTCTCCAGCTTTGGATCCTTCACCTTCCTTTTGCTTTAAATTGTCATATGATGACTTCACTTTTTCTTGAATCCTGTTGCTGTCTATAGGAATGCCTTTCTTGTAGCAATCCTGTACCCACATAAAAGCTGTATTTTCAATACAAGATAAAAAGGCATTTTGTAAAAAGTGCAAAGTTTTTGCTCTTGCTGGTGTACCTGCAGCAATGGCTTCATGAATTCCTTTTTTTTATTTTTTTTAACAATGGTCCTTACAGCGAATTCATTTATCCTGAAATGGTGGCCAACCTCAGAAGGAGACCTCAATCTATGGTACATATCAAGCATTTCGACTTTTTCTTGTAATGTCATGACTTTTCTCTGTTTCTTGGGAGTGCTTCAAGAATCACTATTGGCACTTTGTATCGTTCCCATGGTGTTATTCAAGGTTTATAGTTTTGCACGGAACACAATGAAAAATACACGAGAATCATGAGATCCCTTTTTACTGCAGTATGCAATTTAGTAAAGAGATAACTGCTCATGCGGAGATAATTAGTGTCACAGGGCATTTTGAGTGGATCCTTGCAATACTTGAGCTCACCCAATAGCACCAGGAGGTGGCTGTGAAATTATTACAGTAATACAGTATATACTATAGTTAATTTTATGCAGTTATGATTTAATGCTCATCTTACATTTCTCTTGACCGTAATGGTGCCATGTTATGGTCTGTGTGTTTCTTTAAGTTTTGATAAATTTTAAAATTTGATCATATATTTGGCTATGTTTATTAAAATTATTTTTCAATGTTTATTTATTTTTGAGTGACAGAGAGACAGAGCATGAGTAGGGAAGGGCAGCGAGAGAGGGAGACACAGAATTGAAAGCAGGCTCCAGGCTCTGAGCCGTCAGCCCAGAGCCTGAGGCAGGGCTCGAACCCATGACCCGTGAAACCTTGGCCTGAGCTGAAGCCCGATGCCCAACCCCTGAGCCACCCAAGCACCCCATAGATGTTTTTAACATAAAAAGTTTAATTAAATTATTAAGAACTTCTATAATTTTAATTCAGAAGTTGATATCTTCTGGGCATTATAATTTTATTATATTAAGGGCTATTTACAAATATTTTTTGCCTAGGGGCACCTGGGTGGCTCAGTTGGTTGAGCGTCCGACTTCAGCTTAGTTCATGATCTCACAGTTTTTGGTTTGAGCCCCACGTCAGGCTCTGTGCTGATGGCTCAGAGCCTGGAGCCTGCTTCGGATTCTGTGTCTCCCTCTCTCTGCTCTTCCCCTGCTCACATGCTGTCTCTCTCGCAAAAATAAATAAAGAATACAAAAAAATATTTTAAAAAGCAAATATTTTTTACCTTTAGAAATAACAGATTTGCTGAATTTGCTAACTATTGCATAATGCATTATTTCTAAATAAAATAACTCCTCATTTTTGGAAATTGAATCTTGATTTGTCACAAATTGAGTAAAATAGTTCCTATCACTATAAAAGGAAACAAGAATTCTACATTCTAAAAAATTTCTATTAATTGTTCTTAAGCAATAAACTAACAAGGTGGATAAATTTGTTACAGACCAGGCTTGAGATCTCTTTTCTGTGAAAAGCAGACAAAACTCCAAAAGAAGGGCTGAGGCACCAGATTTCCCAAGTAAAAATAACCTAAGGTTGGTGACTTTACTGTACCCCTCTCTTATTTACTCCATTTTTTTCTTTTTTAATCTTTTTTTTAACTTTTTTAATGTTTATTTTTGAGAGAGAGAAAGCGCAAGCTGAGAGGGGCAGAGACAGAGAGAGAGAGAGAGAATCCCAAGCAGGCTTCATGCTGTTAGCAGGGACTCCAAAGTGGGATTTGAACTCACGAACCACAAGATCATGACCTGACCTGAGGGTGGAAGCTTAACCAACTGAGTCATCAAGGTGCCCCTTTAATCTTCTTATTTTGACATAGTTTCAGGCTGAATGAAGAGGTGAAAAAACAGTATAAAGAATTCCCTATCATCTTTCTCCAAATTCCTCAAATGTTAACACTTTACCACATTTGCTTTTGCTTCTCTCCTCCATTTCTCTGCTGTTGAGGAAATATAATTACAAAGAATATCTCTCAACCCAGAAAACCTTTCCACAAAGGTAGAAGAGAAAGTTTTATTGAATAAGTATTAATCCCAAAAAATTCCAGATGCTTTTCATAGGCAGTCTGCTAAGAAATTGCTTAGACAGAAAGAAATATTGTCCTTTTATATTGCTAAGCAGGTACAAGAACTTTGCAGCCCAGAGCAAGGGACCCACTCCAGTTAGACTCGTACCCTTCCACAGAAAATGGGAGATCTCTTTCCCTAGATGATTATATTTCAGAGATGGTTCCTAGGTCTTTAAAAAAGATTATTCCTGGAGCTGAAAGCTGACAAGAGGCTTATTTAGCTTCTAAAATTTAGCTTCTATTTACTTACCTTTCAAAGATATTGAGAATACACTTACAAGTTGTCTAAAGTTCATGCTCTATGAAAAGAGAGAAGGAAAGTCACTTATTTTCAATAGGAATAATTGATCTTCTTTTTAATTTGTATTTGCCTTTACAACACACACATATATGCTTAAAATTTTTATTCTATACCTTTTGAGAGTAAGTTCAGACATCTATATTTACTAACTTGCTTAATCCCAGAATACACAGAAAACAGTTTGTGAACTGCTAACCTATACAACTGAAAAAGCATACCTCCTCACTGGAGTTCAGTATTTGTGTCTATAAATATTCAAAAGTTAATTTTTTTTCTTCCCCTCCCTTCAATGAGGACTCATGTGAAACATGGTTCAGTTCATTTGTTTTTGTGGTTTTAGGATTTTTACCTAATCTGGTTGATTTTTAAAAATTATGTTTGAGTGCATGAGACAATAACATGGTTCCAAAGTCAGAACTGCATCAAGGTTATGTTTAGAGAAGTGTCTTTACCCCCTCCCCACATTTCTTCCTTTCCACTTTGTTCTTTCCTTATAGGTCACCAATCTTCCTAGGCTCATTTTCTTCTTCATGAATTCCTTTCCACAAAAATGTGCATCTATCTATATATTTTCCTATTTCCTCTTATTTTTTACAAAATGATAGTACACTAAAAATACTCTTACTTTGCTTTTTCACCTGACACTTGGTTTCTCCTGGACATCATTCTATATTGGTTCATAGAACCTTCCTCATTTTTTTTAAAGAAATGTAGTACTTCCCTTTGTGAATATACCAGTTTTCTCATCCATTACCCAAATAAAGTCATATAAGAAATTACGTTTTCCAAAACAATTCTGGAATGAGTGATTGTGCATGTATATTTTTGTACTGTTGGGGATATAGATCTTCCAAAGGGAAACTCTTATTGTATACATGTAGATTTCTATGCAATCTCTGTGTCTAACACAGGGCTCCAACTCGACTCTGATATCAAGAGCAGCATGCTCTACTGACTAAGCCAGCCAGCCACCCCTTGTTGGGTATATTTTTAGGTTAAATTCCTGGAAGTGGGTTGCTGGACAAAAAATATTGTAAAAATTTGATTTTTCACCAGCAGTGTAGGAGAGTGCTTGTTTTCTTAAAAAAATTTTTAAGGTTTATTTAATTTTGAGAGAGAGTGAGCATGAACCGGGAAGGGGCAGAGAGAGAGGGAGATACAGAATCTGAAGCAGGCTCCCTGCTGTCAGCACAGAGTCTCATGCGGGGTTTGAACCCACAAAACTTGAGATCATGACCTGAGTCACAGTCGGACGCTCAACTGGGCCACCAGGTGCCCAGAGGAGTGCTTGTTTTCAGATAGTCTGCTCTTGCAAGTCTGATCAGTAAAAGGAAAACTTGACTTAGAATAATCTCAAGTTTTACTTCTCTGGATGTTAAAGGAATTCAAATATTTTCAAACATTAAATGCCTAAAATATAATTTGATATTTAAGGAATGAAAGGTTTAAAAACTTTACCAATATTTATGTCTTATTTTCTACTTTAAAAAGTCAAACCACATGCCTACTGTTTTGCTCTACTACGCTCCAGTAGGATAGTATCTCATTTCTTATATACTGCCAAGTCTTTGGGTTTGCTAATGATTTCTTTTCCTTTGTGAATATTTGTTTTTTTACTGTTTATTTTTGAGAGAGAGAGAACGAACATGAGTGGGGGAGGGGCAGAGAGAGAGACAGATACAGAATCCGAAGCAGGCTCCAAGCTCTGACCTGTCAGCCCAGAGCCCCAGGTGGGGCTTGAACTCACAAACTGCGAGATCATGACCTGAGCCAAAGTTGGAAGCTTAACCAACTGAGCCACCCAGGTAACACTTTGTGAATATTTGTATTCCTTATTAAAAATTTTGCCTGGATATCCATTTTTAGTCCCATAGAATGCTATTAGAGTCTTGTTGGGAAAAGCTGCCACTTGTTTTTTGATGTATTCTTTAAATGGTAAATATTATACTGGTCCTTTTCTGTTTGTCACCTACATACATACTTGTCTAAATTTCTTAAATTACATTTTGAAAAAATAATCACTGGTTTTTTTTATTTTTTTAATTTACATCCAACTTAGCAGCATCATCAATGATGATTTCAGGAGTAGATTCCTTAATGCCCCTTATACATTTAGCCCATCCCCCCTCCCACAACCCCACCAGTAACCCTCTGTGTGTTCTCCATATTTAAGAGTCTCATGTTTTTGTCCCTCTCCCTGTTTTTGTATGATTTTTGCTTCCCTTCCGGTATGTTCATCTATTTTGTATCTTCAAGTCCTCATATGAGTGAAGTCATATGATATTTGTCTTTCTCTAATTTTGCTTAACATAATACCCTTTCGTTCCATCCATGTAGTTGTGAATGAAATCTTGCCATTCTTTTTGATTGCTGAGTAATACGCATTGTATATATATACCACATCTTCTCTATCCATTCATCCATCGATGGACATTTGGGCACTTTCCATAATTCAGCTATTGTTGATAGTGCTGCTGTAAACACTGGAGTGCATGTGCCCCTTCGAAAGAACATACCTGCATCCCTTGGATAAATACCTAGTAGTGCAATTGCTGGGTTGTAGGGTAGTTCTATTTTTGATTTTTTGAGGAACCTCTGTACTGTTTCCTAGAGTGGCTGCACCAGTTTGCATCCCCACCGGCACTGCAAAAGAGATCCTCTTTCTCTGCATCCTTGCCAACATCTGTTGTTGCTTGAGTTGTTCATGTTAGCCATTCGGACAGATGTGAGGTGGTATCTCATTGTGGTTTTGATTTGTATTTCCCTGATGATGAGTGATGTTGAGCATTTTTTCATGTGTCAATTGGCCATCTGGATGTCTTCTTTGGAGAAGCGTCTATTCATGTCTTTTGCCCATTTCCTCACTGGATTATTTGTTTTTTGGGTGTTGAGTTTGATAAGTTTTTTATAGATTTTGGATACTAACCCTTTATCTGATATGTCATTTGCAAATATCTTCAGTCATTCCATCAGTTGTGTTTTATGTTTTGTTGATTGTTTCCTTTGCTGTGCAGAAGCTTTTTATTTTGATGAGGTCCCAATAGTTCATTTTTGCTTTTGTTTCCCTTGCCTCTGGAGACATGTTGAGTAAGAAGTTGCTGCGGCCAAGGTCAAAGAGGTTTTTGCCTGCCTTCCCCTTGAGGATTTTGATGGTTTCCAGTCCTGCATTTAGGTCTTTCATCTGTTCTGAGTTTATTTTGTGTATGGTGTAAGAAAGTGGTCCAGGTTCATTTTTCTGCATGTCGCTGTCCAGTTTTCCCAGCACCACTTGCTGAAGAGATTGTCTTTATTCTATTGGATAGTCTTTCCTGCTTTGTCAAAGATTAGTTGGTCATACGTTTGTGGGTCCATTTCTGGGGTCTCTGTTCCATTGATCTGAGTGTCTGTTTTTGTGCCAGTACCATTCTGTCTTGATGATTACAGCTTTGTGATACAGCTTGAAGTCCGGAATGTGATGCCTCCAGCTTTGGTTTTCTTTTTCAAGATTGCTTTGGCTATTTGGGGTATCTTCTGGTTCGATACAAATTTTAGAATTGTTTGTTCTAGCTGAAAAGAATGTTGGTGTTATTTTGATAGGTATTGCATTGAATATGTAGATTGCTTTGGGTAGTATTGACATTTTAACAATATTTGTTCTACCTTGTTGGGGAAAGCTGCCACTTGTTTTTTGAAGCAATATTTGTGCTTCTTCAATTTCTTTCATAAGCTTTCTATAGTTTTCAGTGTATAGGTTTTCAATTCTTTGGTTAGATTTATTCTTAGGTATTTTATGGTTGGTGCATAATCACTAAGTTTTAATACTTCATTGCTAAGTATTTGCTAATTTTCTTATGTTCATGATCTCATTTAAATCCTCACTGTAATTCTATAAAGTAGTTTATTTTTAAACATATAAAGTATGTTTATTTCTCTAAGATCAGAAAAATTAAAATACACAATTACTAAGAGTCAGAGCAGAGATTCCAAACAGGTTCTTGCTGACCTGGGAATGAGGGATTAACCACTATTCTATTATGCAGTCTTGTAAACCAGGGTTGTTGACTGAGTAAACTCCAAGTTAGCTGAGGGTGAACCTTTGTTTAAAAATCACATTTTCAAGGGAAGTAAGCTCTTCAGGGATTAAAAAGTCAGTAACCATCCTCCCCCCAAAAAAGTTAACAAACCCCAATCTTGCATTTTTGAGTGACAGGGTAAACCAAATCTATAGGAAGTGAAAGTCGAACTAAGAAAAATTCAAAAAATTCCCCAATTCAAAGGTTTTCAACATAACATTGGGGGAAACAGGACTCTTTTCTTCTTTCTATGCTATGTACATGTTAACTAATTGTAATATGTATCTAAATTAGGCTTCATATTTATAGACATGGGATAAAAAAATTCTAAACCAAGTATTACAAGAGTAAAATTATAAACCTTAGGAATAATTTTATCAGAAAATAAATGGCTCCTGTGTGACAATAACATCACACTGAAATAAATATGCCTCTGAATCCTCTTCCATGACTGATTCTGTTATTCTTCAATGGAGTTGAACTCAGAGTGGGCTATTTTAATCTTTCACATGGCTGCCTTCCCAGGCATGTCAAGTACTCTCAAATTTTAGATTCATCAGTCCAAATCTCTTTGCAGTAGTTATTCATTTTAGGCCTTATAAGCTAACAGAGATGTGCCTGTCACAAAATATGAATGGAAGTTCCTTTTCCTTTCTTTTTATCTACCTTTTTTACCCTCTTGTTGCAGCTGTTATTTCTGGAACCTTGATGCATTCAGGATATCAATTGCACTGATTCACCTCCTACATAAGCTGGTTTCATGCATGAAAAAGCAAAAGCCTTAAAATATTGTAAGTGGAATGAACTTACAGCAAGTATTAAATGTTTTCATTATAGATAAGGTATATATACCTGTCTTGAATCTCAAAAAAAAAAAAATCCTAAACTTTTTTTCTCATCTTAAATACAAATTGCTCATGAAACATGATAAGCAGGAGAAAAATGC